CAAAACACACAAACTGATCATTAACAGCTGTTTTTACAGTGTGTGTAGTGACATTTTGGATTGACTCTTCATTACACACACACTCTGTCTGGGCTGAGCTTTGATTGACAGTTCCAGGGAAGCGTCTGATTGGTCCGTCAGCAAATTTACACCTGCAGGGATCTTGCGGTTTAAGATGTCTATCAATGAATAACTGGTTTAGAGGCCGCGAGTTCAGACCAAATCCCAGAGGAATTAGCTTTTTATGAGGGGAAAATACTCAGAACTCTGTTCAAGTGTCAGACGTTTCAGCTTTGATTCACTATGCTGGTTGCAGGATCATTTAATTAGCTATTTAACTCATGCTTCAGGCTAAAATACAACATAATAAAACATTAAAAACACACTATTTTAATATCTTTTAGTTGCTTTGTATAATCCGCTCTTGTTGTGTGTATCTTGTTGAATCGCTGAATGCCTCCTCAACTGTAAGTCGCTTTGAACAAAAGTGTCTGCTATATGACTAAGTGTAGTGTAATGTCAATGTATTAATCTTGTGCATATACACTATATGTGGAAAATGACAGCCAATACGAATCAGCGATTCCACTCACGTTTTGTTGGCATTCATGCTGTTTTAAAGTCGAAATGTTTTTAATGAATTCGATTAGCTCAGAAAAATGTCTATTACCTGTTTATATTAGTTTGATCATTGCACACATACATTTACACACTGAAAAAAAGATGATTCCTTGAAATCACTTAATTTTTTTTTAAGTTAAGGGGTTGTAAACTATTCATTAATGTTGAAATTAAACAAATAAATTAAAGTTGAATATTACTAAATTTCATTTGTTTATTAAATTTAATTCGTTTGTTTAAATTCAACACAAATACATTTAAAATAAGTTCAATAAATTTAAAATAAAAATAAAAATTTCAGTGCAGTTGAAGTCAGAATGATTTCAGAATGACAGAATAGCCCTGCTATGAATTTCTGTGTTTTCTTTTTCAGATATTTCCCAAGTAATGTTGAACAGATTCAGGTCATTTTCACAGTATTTCCTGTAATATTTGTTCTTCTTGGGAAAGTATGATTTGTTTTATTGTAGTTTTTAATAGTTTTAAAGCCAATATTATTCACCCCTTCAGCAATATTAGTGTTGGATTGTCTCCAGAACAAACCACTGTTATACAATGACTTGCCTAATTACCCTAACTTTACCCTAATTACCCTAGTGAAGCCTTTACATGCCACTTTAAGCTGAATACTAGTAAATATGTAGTCTAATATAATGTGCTGTCATCATGGCAGAGATAAAATAAATCAGTGATTAGAGATGAGTTATTAAACCATCATAGTTAGAAATGTGTTGAAGAAATCTGCTCTCTGTTAAACAGAAATTGGGGGAAAATTATATAGAGGGACAGATTTCAACTGTATGTCTATGTATTTTAGCAAAATAAACACTGTACATTTCGATTGCATGCATACTTCAATAAGAACAGCGTCTGGCATGAGAACGTGTGCTTGTTTGTGTGTGTTTTGCAGCAACTGCTTATATATTTTGACGTGGGACATTCCATAATGCATAAAAGTGCCATAATTAAAGCGGTGGTTCGTCCTCCACCGTGAACTCCTGCCTGAGCTTGTCTACGTGAAGGCAGAGGGAGAAAAGGCTGAAGAAAAACACCCGTTTACAGACAGGAATCCAAAAACACAGTCATATGACAGGCATTGTGATATTGGAAGTAAGAGTTCAACGCGATGCACACTAACACCTTTAACCTTCCAGTCGTGTTCGGGTCAAATCTGACCGATTTACAACTTGAAACACTCATAAATATTGTGTTTTATATACGATTGCCTCGAGGACTTATTATATCCTCCACATTATGCACTTAAACATATAGAAATGATGATCACCTCTTTCATTGAATTTTGATTGTTTTAATCAACTTTGTTACA